TCTTGGGCAGTTAAGGGGTTTTTACCCTCATTTCTATGAGATTCCAATACAAGGTTGAGTCGCAGTTTGTGTGAAGTAATAATATCACATTTCTGTACCGTTCTAATTTCGCTTTGAAAAAATTTAAATGCTCATTCTCCCAATAAATCACCGTAGGTCTGAAAATTGCATTGGATTCAGTAAATCAGAAACCCAAAGTCAAAATTGTTCTTCTTGGAACTCCTGCTGAGGAAGGAGGAGGGGGAAAGATTTTGATGATCAACAATGGCTGCTTCAAAGATCTTGACTTCTGTATGATGGTTCATCCTGCCGATATAGATGAGCTTAAACCTCCATGTTTAGCTATCGAACAAGTCAAAGTTACTTACCATGGTCATTCCTCGCATGCTGCCGCATCCCCTTGGAAAGGAGTCAACGCATTGGATGCAGCAGTCATAGCCTATACGAGTATAAGTGCATTGCGACAGCAGATGAAGCCCAAATGGAGCGTTCATGGTGTTATCACGGAGGGAGGTGTGAAGCCAAACATCATTCCTGATCGCGCACAGATCCAATACTACATCCGAGCTCCGACCGACAAGGAACTTGATGTCTTGAAAGAAAAGGTCATAAATTGTTTCGAATCAGCAGCCACGGCCACAGGTGAAATAGACAGAAGACAATTATGACAATTAGCTGTAACATTTCTGGTTAAAGAGTGCGATTGCCTGAGGCTGTTTGCAGTGACCACAGGTAGCCCAAGCTCGCACAATGAGCCTCCGTGAACATGTTTGTGTCCTACAAGGGACAAAATAAATGCATTTGCAGGACAACGGTTGCAATATTAAGCAAACAATCTAAAATATTGATATCTAAAAACAATTTAACTTCCCTCTCTTTGAACCCTGTGACTTTCGTAGGCTGATGTGCGGTTCTTTAGCTCTGCTTTAATCCCCCGCCATCCCTTTGCCCTCTAAATCGTCATTTCCGGATTCCGTCACTCACCGTGAGAGAGACTTCTTGAGAGGCCAAAGCGTGGGAAACATACCAAGCATACGAAACTCATTAGATCTAAAGGAAGTAAAGTTTGTTTTTTATTTTTATGAAATTAGTTCAGATTATTGGATTAAGATTGCGACCTTTCATTCTCATGCAAATCCTTAAATTTCCCTTACTGCCCGACACAAACATATTTACACATTTATGGAGGCTCAATCTGCGTTCTTGCACTTCCTGTGAAGTGATTGGAAGTTTTTGCCTCACTCATTGATTTTCCTCGTTCTTCTTTTCTAGGATGCACGGTGTCTATTGAATGGGATCCAAAACGTTACTCCAGTTTGGATACAAATGACACACTGGCAGATCTCTATCAAGCTAATGTCATGACCTTGGGGGTAGCGTTCAATCCTCCAAAGAAAGAACTGAGTGGCTCAACAGACATGGGAAATGTCTCCCAAATAATCCCGTCAATCCACGTAATGTACGGTATTGGCAGCGACGCTGTGAATCATTCTCATGCATTTACTTCAGCAGCAATAACGGAGATTGCCCACGAGAGAACTTTGATTGCAAGCAAGGCGATGGCCATGACTGCTATTGATGTTCTGTGCAATTCCGAATTTATGCAAAAAATCAAGAAGGACTTTGATAGAACACACAGCCTCTGACCAAGATACGCTTCAGCTAATACCATGCCGCAAAATGGGTACAATTAAGGCATTTTCATATAAACCATCCCAAATCGAGACTATTTCTGTTGATATAACATCCAACCGACAGACACTTGTTTCTAGCAAATAGTCAAACCTGTAATCGAACCAGGCGCTGTATACTTGCTTAGCCCCAAATTTGATCCTGAATGTAGTAACAATTAAAAATTGTGTCATTGCTATAAGCTATCTCATTTTTGAAATGGTAATTTTTCATATTTCATCCAGTTGAACTGATATAGTAGCGTACATTTCCAATATAATCACTGCTGCTGAGCTTTGAACAACAATGAACAATATTTTGCGATTTTATCATTTGGCGAAAAGTTCGTGTGACAATCACGCAACACACTTGGATTCGTGACCACAATTCGCGCCTTGTCCATCGCACGCACCACCCTCGCATCATTTTTTTATTAAGCAATAGGAAAAAAAAATAAAGGACCTCAGTTTTTTTCATGTATGTATTTTGTTGTCTTAGGCCATGTATTTTCACCTCATTTTCGTCTGTGATCCTTTGCTGACAGCTGTTTGGTTCTATGGACTATTCGTTCTTTGCATCCACATTTCACAGGGGAGGTTTCAAGCAAGTGTATTCATAGAGAGTTTTTCTCCCCTTTTATTTTGGATCCTTTTTTTACTCTCAGATCAAATATATGAAAAAATATATATATTTAAATAACACGTAAGCAGCTGAACTGTTTTTTTTTTGTTTTGTTTTCATCAAAATCAGTACCATGCATAGTCGGAGGGGATTCGTAGAGGGGTGGGGTAGTGTTATGCAGTAAGTTGTTTGTCCCATGATGTCAGGGGGGGCACCACGAGTGAATGTGAGGTTTAGTTTTGATTTTAAAAAACTCAGTTCGGCGCTGATATTAATTTTTAGTTATCTAAAAGGGGGAGGGGGCATGGGCCTCCATGCCCCCCCCTCCCCCCTTGGATCCGCCACTGTGATGTGATCTCTTCCAACATGGACCGCCACGTTTCCTTCAGTCGACTAGATACGCGTTATGTTTATGTAACTGGATAGTACTCGAAGGTATTGATTGGCATCCATGCTTCCGGAATTCCATTCCGCTGTCCCGATCGCACCTTTTATTCTGCAAGTCCCAGAAGCCGTTGATCAAAACACTCAACGAAAAGACGCTGCACGAAGGCGGACCACCGAGGGAATATTTTCTCAAAACTAAAGGAATTTTAAGTGAGTTCAATCAATTAAGGTTGACTCGGTAGAAGAAGTAACCGTTTTCACAATGCAGAGATTGCTATCCAGAGCATCGGATAGTTTTTACTCCACGAGTTTTACATAGTTTTCGCTACAAATCCCAAATTTCGTCTGAAAATCTGACATTTAGAAGACAGTGTAAAAGCAACATTCACGTTTTTGACAAAGGAGCAGCAAGCGGAAATCAGGTGACATGTAACTTCTTCCTATGATATCCATAAACTATTCAGCAAACAGGTAATGAGAATACTAAAACTTATCAGGTAGATGTTGATTTTGATCTTGATCTTCCACCAGATTCTCAAAACTACATGTAATTTACAAGGAAATGTGTTTCAGTGAGAGGGGAGGATTAACATTCAGATCTTGGCAGTAAAGGGTTTAAAGGCTATTTTTTGTCCACCCTAGATGAGATTTCCTCCAGTTTTGCTTAATTTCTGTGTATTATTTTTTGGACTCATAGGTCTCAAGTGGTTGTGGATGCAGTTGATCAGAAACCAAAGTCAAAATAGTACATCTTGGAACTACTGCTGTGGAAGGAGGCAGGGAAACAATTTTGATGATCAACATTGGCTGCTTCAAAGATCTTGATATCTGTATAATGGTTTATTCTTCCCAAGTTATCCTTAAGGCGGTGGGGGTTCAGTGACCTGAGCTCATGACAGTGTTACAGTCACCTACAAAGGTCATGTAGCTTATGCTGCAACATTCCCTTGGGAGGGAATCGATGCATTGGATACAGCTGTCATGCCTAATACAAACATAAGAGTACTGCAACAGCAGATGAAGCTCTAATGGCAAGTTCATAGTTTTATTTCTGAGGTTGGGATCAAGCCAAACATTGTACCAGATGGGGCTCAGCTGATCTTCAAACATGAGGGCTCCAACTGTGAGGAACTTGAGGTCTTGACAGAAAAAGTCTCTAGTTGTTTTGAAGCTGTTGCACTGATGACAGGTAAGACTAATAAAAGTAATTTGGCAGATTTTTTAGTATTTTGATTAAAAAAATCAATTTGAGAGGTATTAGTTTTGACAGTTCTTGTGTCATACTCAGTTTAAATTGATATAGGTACTTAGGGTGAATGTACAGTAATATAACAGAACACTATAATTAAGTGAGTGACAAAGCATGGCTATAGAGAACATGTTCAAATAACATGATTCAGTTGATGATTTAATGTGGGTTTCTCCCATTGAATATGTAAAGATTCTTCAATCTCAAATTGTAAACCCCAGTTTCCATACTTTGTTTATTTTTTTTTTAATTGGTTGGCACATCAAAACCTTCTATCAAAGGTGACCAGAGAGACATGCTTGTTACAGCCTCCCTAGTTTTTTTTCTTTTTTTCTTTTTTTCTTTTTTGCTACTTGACAAAGGAAAAAGTGGTCCATCCACAAAAACCACAAGTTTTCCCAATTGTCTTCTCATTTATTTCACCCTATGGTTACCAAAAACTACTGAAGAATAACCAGCTAGTTAGGTTGATAACTTCCATTTATTAGATTCTTGTTCCTTTCATGGTATCATTATATATTCAGGGGGAAACATTTTCAAAGAACATTTGGGTCTTTGATATATAACAGGTTTGTCTTCTCTGAACTGTCATATAATTCTGGCTATGTTCTGGGTGTAAGTTTGAATAAAAAAAAGGCAGTTGCTAAGAATGGATAGTGAGCATCCTCTTGTTACTGTGGGATTAAATATTGAGAATTCTCATAAATAATCAATGTGTTTGTTTTGTGAATTGGTTATCTACACTTATCCCTTCAGAAGAGATGTTGACAGTTTTAGATTTCTGAACTATTCTTTATTCAAGTTATAGTCAAACTATGGAGGAAAAGAAAATGCATTACATAGTTACAAAAGCACAAGAAAATTAACACTACTTACAGTTCTGGTTGCCTTCTCTTCTGCCTGGTAACAATTAGGTTTCTACTTACAGCCAGCCTTTAAAATACCAGTCCTAGGAAGGTTAATTAACTTAATTAACGCAGCATGCCATATACAAAATATTTTGTTTCCCTTCCTTGGAGAATGAAATAAATTAGATATTACTTTGTTTCTTGTTTCAAAGGGTGCAAAGTGCATGGGGAGTGGAATCTATTACACTATTCCAGTGTGGATCAAGCAGACCTCTACCAGGCTAATGTCAAGTCTTTTGGTGTAACCTTTGACCCACAAGTGCAACAGCAAACATGGGGCTCACCAGATATGGGAAATGTCTCAAAGAAAATTCCTTCAAATCATGTACTATATGATATTGGATGTAAAGCTTCAAACCATTGTCATGCATTCATGGCAGCAGCAATGACAGAGTATGCCCATGCAAAAATGCTGATTGCAAGCAAAGCAATGGCCATGACAGCTATTGATATTCTATATCATCCAGAATTACCGTATTTACCCGTGTATAATGCGGGCCCGTGTATAATACGAATCCCAATTTCAGACCAAATTTTGAGAAAAAAGAAAAATAAACTACTCAACAAGAAGGTGAAATTGTATAACATTATATATTTCAATTAACTTGGCAAACTAACGAAATGATGGTTACAACATCTTTCACCTATCAAATCCTTCAAACTCGGACTCGGAGTCTGACTGGAACAGTTCTCTTGCAAACGAGTCATCGAGCTCGTTGTTGCAGTCATCGTTGGCCTCGTAAACTAGGTCGTCCTCGGATCCATCAAGGCTGTTGGTGATCCCGCATTTTAGAAATGAGGATTCAATCATTTCTTCGGAAATGTCCTGCCATGCTCCTGCGATCCACGAAAGGATCAGTTCCTCGGATGGTTCCTTTTGGCGGCCACTCGCTGTAAATTCATGGATTCCCTCCGCCATCCACTCCATCCACCTCTTTCTAACACCATCTTTAAACGGCTTGTTTAAAGAGACATCCAGCGGCTGTAGTAATGCAGGAAACAAGAAGTTATTTCAAAAATAGAACATTGGTACATGTAAATGAAGATCTTGATACAACAATATTTTGAACAATTCTGACAGTTTTTTTAATGTACTGGTATTTTAAGGTTCTACACATGAAAATAAAAAATTCTAAGGTAAAGGGAATGATCATTTGTCCATGCATACTTTTGAATGCCATGATGATACACAAAAATGTATATATTCATGTTGGAATGAATTTCAATTCTAATGAAGAACTGTCATTGTTAACCCTGTGACTCCCAGAAATGATTAGCATGTAACTTCTCCCTATAATATCCATACATTATCTTGCACACAGGTAGTAAGAATACTCAAACAAATCAGGTGGAATTCATAATCTTGATCCAACACCAAATTCTTATAACTGATTCACAAGGAGATGTGTTGCAGCGAGAGGGAAGAATTAACAATCAGATCTTGGGACTAAAAGGGTTCAGTGAAGTTGAGAACAACTAACTCTTTGTTTTATATGAAGTGTATTTCTGGACATCACACATATCCCTTCCCTTTTTCCATAAAAAGATAACAAATAGGGCAGCTTCAGAAAAATCTATCAATACAATAAGACACCACTTGTTTTAACACAATCAATGGGTTGTGTCGTGTTACAAATTTTAATGTGTCCAATCTACAAATACATACTAAAATATTGACAAAGACACTTATTGTAAAACACATGTACATAGAAGAACTAATTTAGCTTTATCAAAATACCTACAAATATAACATAGCCAAGAACAAGGGATTGCAGGTCAGCTTAAAAATTCTTACAACTTTCTACTCCATCAACCTAGTTCTTCTTGGATTTGGGGGAAACCTCAATATGATGTCTTTTCAGAATATAAACATGTACTAGCTGCCTAATGGTAAGTCTCTTTCCTGTAAACCACTACGTTTAATTTCTGTCTACACAAGCATAACAATTTGATACATCTTATCTGGTTAACAAATTTTTTCAACCTGGCAGATTCACTCATATACATGTAATAGAGACCACTTTACATTTTTTGCCTTGATAGATGTCATAAGATGTCATAATTATGTTTGTTGTAGCATACACTATCTATCACTACTTCTACAATAGAGAATATATGTATGCACAAGATAAAATTATGTCTCAATCCTTTCACTCCCAGATCTCATTTGTAATTCTCTGTTCTGTCTACTATCAATCCTTATGACGTTAGTTTGGAGAATTTGGTATTGCATCAATAAATAATCTCATTGATATTTTTCTTTATTCTCATTACTTGTCTGCTTGATCATGTATTGGTATTATAAGGAGAAATTCTGTCTTGGTTGCTAAGGGAAGTTAAAGGGTTAAATTGCACAGTTGCTGCTGCCTTTAACTGTGATCTCTCTTCAGTGACAGAGAGAGTGAACTATGCTGTACACAAAGCCTGTTTTTACCAGAGGAACAACAGGCAACTGATGTTAAATTTCAATTATATTGTCTTCCATTTAAATTAATTGCAAACATCATACTCTTGGCAAAGGATTTCTAACTCTTCTTTAAACTCCCCAGTGTATTCAGTGGTGAAGTTTTTGATAAACTCAACCACAAATTTCACTGGCAATGCATTGCTTAAGTTGAACTGAGAATGTGTTTCCAAAGCATCATACAGTTTTAGTGTGAGCAGTTGGATTGATATCTGATACGAATCTGAATCAAATGAAGGTCTCTTTGAAAGAGTAAAATAATCCACCGCTTCATCTGACACCTGAATAGTGCAGGTTTGCATAGACTCTCTTATCCTTTCAATCACAATTCTTTCCTCCGGTGTTAGAATCTCTTTAAAATGCTTCTGTGTTGCCATGCCAACAACCTTTAACTGATTGTTTATCCAGGAGACAACAGGGCTGCCTGAATTTCCAGAAATCAAGGAGCAGTTCAACACTGCCATTAAATGACCTGATAAAGTTTCCTTAGAGCCAGAAACATTACCAGTCACTAAAAGGGCAGTTTTTCCTGTGTGACTCAAAGGATAACCAAACGAGAAAATCTGCATTCCTGGAAGCAATGGCTGGATTGATAACTGTAATGGACAAATGCTTCTTTGCTGTGAATTAAGATCTTGGCAATATAGCAAAGCGAGATCTTTTTCTGGATCACAATGGGCAACCTTACAAGACAATTCACCAATGGATGCATTAGAAATGTGAATTTCATAACTGTCTTCCTTATCTAGATATGTCTGAATCACATGCTTGTTGGTGAGTATAAAGTGATCACCAATGATGAATCCTGAGCCATGCTCAGTATCACACTTAGTAGTGGCTACTTTATAGTCTTGTTCAATATCAGCCCTCATGGCTTCCACTTCTTTCTTTCTGTTATCAGTTATGTGCCCACTTTCAGGATACTTCTCAAAAGGCTTTTGTGTATCAAAATAATCCAGAGATTGTTTTATGTCAAAAATGTCAAAAGTTTGAAAAATACTTGGCATTCCACTCTCATCTTTCTTTGTAGGGAATATGTCCACATCTCCGTAAAAGGAGCCTGCAAAACAATCTCTCACACAGCGCTCAGCTTCACTGCGGGAATATTCACGAGCTGAGAGCTTTGATTTATCACTCTTGAGAAACTTCTCATACTCTTTGCTTAAATCAGCTCTGTGTTCATCAATCAAATTCTTTAGCTTGTCAGACCCAGGTCCATGATCAGGATATTTATGAAGCCCCCGCATATCTTTGTCATGACGGCGAAGTGCATCATGCAATTTAAAAATGCAGTACACTTCAAGGGAAGGATATTCAGGATGTTTACATATCTCACAGGGAAAAACTGAATGACGAGAAACACAACAATGTTTTTTATGATAACATGCCTGCAAACACTTTACTGCGTCCTCTTTGCGTTCATATTTGTGCAGAGTACCAGTAGAAGCAACTGCTTCCTCATACTTCTTTTGCAAATCAGCCCTGTTGGAGCTGATTTCCATGTACGCTTCTCTTTCTTTGTAACTGTATGTTTCAGGATTGCATCTGTCAAGGCGATCAACAGTTTTACAAATGTCCTCAATGTTGTACTTATCACGGTTCACAGATGGTAGTTCTATCTTCCCATCCGATAGAAAGTTACCAGCATAACAATCCCTCACTCGTCGTTGTGCAACACTCAGAGAATATCGATGTCTTTTATCTGGGTTACAAGTTGCTTCCTTCAACTCTTTTTCGATGTCAGCTCTTCGTTTGTCGATCAACAATTTCGTTTTCTCAGACCCAGGCTCTCCTTTTGGATACTTTTCAACGTAACTCATACTGTCAAACTTATCAAGTGCGTTGAAAATATCGACAACATTGAACGTTTTTTCCAAATAACAATTCCTATCTTTGTCACGTGAAGGGCCTGGAAATTCTTCCCATACCACTGAATTTAGTCTCTCGGGAGAAGCATAACAATTCTCAACTCGCTCCCTTGCCTCTTGATCGCTATATCTGCGTGTTTCTGGCCTGCCGTAAATTGTCACCTTCACACAGGCACGGAGGGCTCCTCTACCCTCGTCGCCCAAAACATCACCGTTACCTGTGGTTTGGTCTTTGGGTCGAGTGTAATTGTAATTGGCCATTTCTAACGAGGCTTGTGATAGAGGGAAAGTCTTTTCGTTGAATTTTGCTCGCGATAACAAAATATTCCCACCAGTCTAGGCGCAAACACCAAAATAAGTCGCTGAGTCAGTTTGTTTCCAATGTGTTCTTAGAATTGATAAATGGTGCAATCTCTTAATTAGTAGCCAGGCAATCAACAAATGGGTCCTTAGAGCCAGTCCACACACGGTGATAACAGCAGTTAGTCACGTAATAGACCAGCTTTGTTACAATTTACACTGCTGATGAATTAAAGCATCCAAACTGTAAGGTGCATTCCTGTTGTCATTTTGCCATTTTCTTTCGTAATGTTCTTTTATTGCCTTCCACTCATATTATTCACGTTATAGCTAGCTTTATAGTGCCTATTTGTTCCGTTCCAGCGCGTTGCGTACAACAGGCCTTTTCCAGCAGGCACGGCCCCCTTACATACGATTAGACCTTCTTTTAGAGGAAGGGCCCGAAACTCGGCGGTCGAAAGTGGATAAACTTAAAAAACGAGCCATTTACCAGGTCCCCTCTCTGATCTGCTGTCTTCCGCGCTCTCCCGTGTCACAATCGCCCCTGCAAGAGACCGCTAGACCGTTTTAAGCTCATACATGCTAAAAGCAATGACTGATGTATTGTGGTGAAGCAGATGTTGACGGAAGTTGTCGACCGTGGACGGAAGTTGTATTCCGTGGACGAAAGTTGCAGCGTGGACCGTGAACGGAAGTAAGGGTAAGTTTCTAAAAATGTTCGTATGGTTTTATTAAAAATAATAATCTCAAATCACATTTCCGAACTTCTGAAAATGCAACTTGAATCGAGAAGCCGAAATGTTCACACCAAGGGGATCCGTAGCGGGTTCATTTCAACACACGCTGTGACCACGCAGAAGGGTATCAGAGTTAAGCCGTGCATCTGCGTTCGTCTTGAGTTTGTATATAATAATCACTGCTTTATCAATTTACTTGTTCTCGGGAGCTCTTCAACATACAGTTCACACATCAATCATAGCGGACAAGATAGTCTCACTAAAAATTTTTTTTCAAGCCCCGATATTTCGGTCCGGACTTGAGGCTCGCTCGAACAAAAACAGTAATACCAATCCGGTCAGTAAAAAATGCAGACGGCAGATTACAGACCGGGTACAAAATGCGGACTGCAGACCGGGTACTAAATGCAGACCGAGAATTTATACTGTTTTTATACTGATAACATGTCATCTTACAACTTACCGAGCGTCACGCAATCGCTTTTCCGCGATCATCTTTCACGATTTGCACTATTGTGGAATATTCCTTGCCCGTTTCTTAGTCACAATCGTTCTTAATATAATTTCAAGCCTTCGTGTAGTATTCCCACTCTACGCGCGAGTTGGTTGGTGTGATGTCTGGACAGAATTTACCAACTCAACAAAAGTAGACGTTGATGTAGATGTAAATGAGATATCACTATTGAATATTTAACACGCGCACTGTTCGAGAAACATTTGACAGTTTTGCACGTGGTCAATACGTTTCATCGCTTTGACCGATATGTGTTCATTTTGTTGAAAAAAATGCGAACCGAGACCAAAACTGTTCCTTCAACTTGATGCATTTTCAACGTTCAGGGGTGTACACAACTGATTTTCACATATGTGCCTTATATTGTTATTGGCTTACATGAAGAACCTGAGAATTTTTATTAGGAAAAGCGAAGCGTTGCTTTCGTGACTGGCCATTTGTTTACTTTTCTGGTGGTTTTCTCACTCATCGGATTGGTGACTACGCAAATATTAATATGTGATAATCAGATTATATGAAGGCTTAAAATTCTATTAAGAACGATTGTGGCCGCTTTGTTAAAAACCAAAACCGATGGCCGCTTTGTTTAAAACAGAAGATATCAAGAAACGGCCAAGAAATATTTCACAATAGTGCAAATGATCGTGAAAGATGAGGGTTACTAATATTTTGCTGCTAGAGCAACATTTGATGCCTGATTATGCCCACCCAGCCCACCCTCCGCCCCACAAACACACACACCCACACCAACAAAAGGGACGCTCACTGCCTAATGACCTCTGTCCATTCCATCTACAGCCCACACAACCTTTATTTCAATTTCCATCACGACGAATGCACAAGTTTTCTTATCACACAACTGCACAAAAATAAAAAAATTTATTCCAAAAGCCTTGAAAGTTCACATAAACCGAATTCAACTGTACCTATATTCAGCAAGTCCAAGAAATCTATGCAAACTTAATCCATAACATGTATGAGCTGGCTCCAAGAACCCTTTGATTCGTATTAGTGACCTTCCGATAGATGAGAACCGAAATTACTTTCCAAGGAACAAGGTTTAGGCACCCCTGGACGATACCTCACTTAGATCTCCTTGGTCTCAGCCCAAATTTATTTGGAACTTTTATCAAATTACCTGATTAATCAACACCATCGCTGCGAGCGATGTCTTTGTAAAACCTGATGTATGGCAAAAACGAACACAAAAGAGCAAATCACGACCCTGACAAAAATTTTCTTTTAAACCAGTACCTTGTGATAGATATTGTGTGTTAAATGAAGATAACATTAAAGCAGTCAAAACTCTTAAGCTACCCGCTCAATATGGATTGACTCTTAAGGGCCGATTATTTTCACAAGGTCTAACCCAAATTGCGGGTTTACGCAAGCAGTGGGCCCCAAGGAACCTCTATAAGAGGTTTGATTTAATTAAATAAATGTACTTTCACCAAAAGGTTTAGGCCCTCTCGACCGCACTGTTCAAAAAAATAAGTGTTCAGATATAGGGTTCGGCTACATTGAAGACGGCTTAAAACGCGGTTTGGTAAAACAACGGCTAAACTTTGTGTAAAACCCCGCTCTACGAGTTTCAAGTCAATCCGTGGATTAAAGGAAGAGGATGATGGAAAATCCACGAGTTAGACCTGCATATTTTCCCGAAACCTTAATAATTTTTTCACTATTGTAATCATTTTTCTATTATTGAGCATCAATTGATAAATCAAGGAAATGAGACATGTAGTTAATTACTGTTGCCCATACTAGGTTTCTCTTCATTAAATCTTGTAGTGTTAATTAGTGAGAGTCGGTCAAACTCGAGTATTCGTGACGAAGCAAGTGGTTGAAAAAACTCTCTCACGAGTCCATAACTTAACGTGTCTTTTAAATAAGAGGCAGCCAAATGGCCCAATTGTAGATAAACCCTTGAAAGCATAGCTGCCGTCGTTCTTGAAAATTGACCAGCAAAACTTCCTTTTGGATCTCACCTCAGATTTTCCGGCTGGAAATTAATTCAATGGCCATTTCTGGATGAAGGTTACATGAATTGTTCATCGATTGCACTCATTCTCCACAATGATTACGCTCCACTAAATAGTCAATTTGCGCCGTGGAGAATGTTACGTTTATTTAATATGCTAATTCTTACCACCAACATTACTTAGACTCGCTAACTCATTTGACGGCGTGGCCTTCAAGTTAGAAAGTCGAATTTGTGTTTGATAAATTTTGATGAGTTGGGCACCACTCTGTTAAGGGAAGGGGAGATTTCCGTTTTCGTAGAAATTTTTTAAAACTTGACTGCAACTTTAGTTCTGAGATCGTTGTTACAAAGGAATTTTTTGTGTCAAAACCGAAAAGTTTTATAGCGTTTTAGAGGTGCCCCCGTTCCGCAACTCTCTTGGTGATTACAACACATAGCCGGAAAACTACGAACTATACGAGGTTTAATTAAATTTTTATTGCAAGCATTTTTAAACTCAGCTTAAGGCTGGTTAACATCGTAAATAAAAGCTGATAAAAATATAGTACTTTCAGTTTCAATTCAAGACCAGTAAGGGAAGAAATCCGACTACCTATGATCGATCAATAAGTTGCATAATAATTGTTTTCACTTTTGATACTATGGTTGTCTTGTCAATGTGCATATAAACTAGATACTAACGAAAACATAAGTCGCTAGGAAACTAACACGAAATGTTTAAGAAATCATCAATAACAACAACAGAAAAAATAAGAGAGAAAGCTTTGCATTCTGTATAAAGTTTTCCATCAGGGTTAGTTAGTGTTCCACTGTCATCTTGCGCTGCAATCTTACGACCCATTCACACCGAAGCTTTCATGGTTGCAAGCGTTTTAAAGCTGATTTATCGACAAATATTTGAAATCGTTTTCTTGATAGAAGCTGCCAAAAATTATTTTTGCTGACTTCAAATTTTAGCACAAACACGCATAAAAGAAATAAAAGTTGGTGATTACTGGAATCCTATGAAAAATTTAAACCTCCAACTTCTAGTAGCTGGCTTTTGATTAGTTAAAACTGGTTTAACTAAACGTGTTTTGCTGGTGTGAATAGGGCATTAGACAGGCAAAGTATCGGTTAAAAGTATATATCTTTTTTAAATTCAAGTCCACTTAAAAAGACGGTACCTACATCTTTTATCATTAATATTCATTAAGGACAAGGCGCCATCAATGTTTGTACCAAGACACTTCGCATTGTGTGTATATGTGAAATGGCGAGGGATTTTTCTCGCTTCTTTGAAAATGAAGTCATCAGGGATTCCGTTATCACACCCATTGTGCTGTTTCTGTGAATGCAAAAAACAAATAAGAGTCAATGGCAATATTTCGTAATAGTGAAAAAGGCACCAGCATTTCATGCCTCTTTGCTTAGGCCAGCAGAGACTGAACGAGATCGCTGCAAATCTTGGAGTTCCGTGCTAAAGAGGCTAAAGGTTACATTTTTATTTACTTTTTTAACTACTTGGGTACTACATGTGAGTGTTTCTGTATTGAAATGTCTTCTACTAAGAGGACAACTAAAAAAACTCCACCTATAACCCAGAAGAGGATTTCCACCGAAACATTAGCACGAGAATCGCTTGCAAAATTGAGTAAAGTGAAAAAGATAACACGCCTCTTCGCTAAATGACTATCTGATCAATTAAGCTATAGTTTTATTCAGATATGAGCATAAATATGGAAAAAAGAGCAAACATTTCCAAAGTCTGCCAATTAAGCTTGTTTATTCCGTACAAACAGCTTTTCTGTGTTTCAGAGTCAGTTTTACTATAACGGGTTACACAGATCTACAGCGTCAGCTCTGTCTTGTGTCAGTCACGTAGTATCTACTCACCTCAAAAATTATATTAGTCGTATTGTCGACCTTCAAAGCATATTTAACTTGGCTAGCTGTGGTGAATTCAATGCACTTTCCTACTGTTCCATCTTGTGCCGTAACAGTAACAATGGTAAATCCTAAAAAAGAAATAACAACTTTGATTAGAAAAACAGCTTTACATGCATTTAATATATTACGTTCAATGTGAGGTTGTTTATTGTCCATTACAACTACTTGGGATTTACGATTCTGTAAGTTACCAGATGACCACCCACTCCCTGACAAATTTCATATTAAATTTAATCCTTCTTTTAAACTTAAGAGGTTTTTTTTCTAACCATGCTTTCAAAATATGCTTTAGCTTGAATTTTTTAGGCGGTTTAAAGTCTAAAATATTTAAGCATATCAAAGATTTTGCTGGTGTCGCTCCTCACTCACTCGTTGCCGGATCTGTCGTAAGAGTACCACGAACTTTTACTTTACACGTAGTCGCACCAGCTGAGCAACTTTGAATCTTCAGAAGACAGCCACTAGTTGTAAGAAGAGACGTTCGACAGAGAGCCGAATAAATGTTCCTATCTTTGCGCGTGTTTGACTCGCCAAATTCCACATGAACCAACAAACAGACAATAGCAGTCTATGTGAGAAAGAAAGAAAAAATTAATCATGTTTGGAAGTGACCCTTCCACGTTAATCCTCGTCTCATAAGTTTTCATCACACCATGTCTTATTTAAACCTTCTTTTTAACATTGGTAGATGATAGCTAAATTACTAGATTGTACGGTAACAATTGGCCGATCGAATTCGGAAAGTTTCGTAAACTCACTGAGTCTTCAAAATCAATACGCAAAAAAGCTTAGCTGGTGTGTTTGAAAACTGAAGCAGCTATGAATTTCCTTGGCCACAAATTTCATTATAAGAGAAGACGAAAACAAAATTTAAAAGTTAAACTAAAAACAGTTGACGTGAAAAAGAACCTTCCTTTGTTAAAAGTAAGTAATGATACTGACTTCACACTTACCACAAAAATATCTCTAAATTCCATGTTGTCAGATCTCTATCTCTCTATATCAGTAGTTTTAGTAAGATCCATCCAAGTTGGAGGAGTCGGAATAGCTTCTTTTACACCAGCTCGTTCTTTTATACCATTTCATTCGCTTTTGAAATACCAAACATGTAACTGCTAAAGAATTTAATGTCTCATAGAAATTTGCCACTTCCGTAAAAGCTCTCCCAGAAAAGTTTACCAAAAAAGTCTTAATTATTGGCACGGATATAGCAAGGTTATTACTCTTTATTTCAACCCAAGAGCTTTTTTTACATTAAAGTAACTTTCTTGATTTAAACGTAAAATGGGAAAAAATGGCATTCGAAATTATCAACCTTAAATAAAAGTTGTTTTCCATCTGACAAAAATTCGTCGATTGTGTGCTCGGTCCTTAAGGGCAAAAATGTACCAAAAATGTACCACAAAAAGAAAAAAGCAGGAAAGCTATACCGCTGTCTCCCAAGTAAACAAGATAAACCACTTATTTTATATCACTTGAATTGAGCTTAAGATATTTTTAACGCCTTACCGGAAATAATTTATCACTAATGCCTGCTTTATAGGCGAGCGTTGAGACGCCGACCACTTTTGCTGTAGAAAGGAAAATTACCCCGTGGACTGACAGATGTTGCTTCCTTTTTCGTATTTATTCTTGTTTCGGCATTGCTGTTATTGATTTTGCTGAATTTGTTCCTCCTTTTCTACATACTTGGTCGATCGTGTGATCTGTGCATCCGATCTGAACTCAGATGCATACCTGAAGTGTTTATTAACTGAAATGTTTGACTCGCATTAGGCGAATCGTTCAACAAATATTAACATTCTATTCAAACGTGCGTGGGAGAGAAAATGGAGAACTCACACGTGAAAAAGACAACTGGACGCTACTTCAAGGAATTCTTTGAACTTTTCCTCGCATTTTACAGTTTGGGTTTTAAACTCCAGGGTTTCCTTCCTTAAGTAAAACAGGTCGCACAAATTGTCATGTCTTAGGGTCCATGGATTAATTTTTACAGAAATGATTATCACATCGATCAAAAACGAGAAATATGTTAGGCTGATAAGTTTTTCGCCGACGGCCAAAAAGACCACAATACTCCCTTCCAAACCCAAATCGACGTGGGTTGTGTTGTTCCGACTGTTTTCTTTCTCTCCCTCCATTAAGAACGGGTGCTAAATTCCTTTGCGGAGGATGCATGTATGACTTCCGGCATAACAGTCTCTGAACTCGTAGCATCATGAGGATAAACAAACCTCCGTTACTACCATTGAGTTAAACTGATAATTAAACTGTTCTATCTTCAGCCTAACCCAGTTAGCTTCAATTTCTACAATTCACTACTTCTACGATATATAGTCATCTTTTTAAGCCTCAGATGTGCCGGCGTCCTCGACGAGCGGTTCGTATCAGTTCCATACCCGATGGGAGTCGAAAGCGTGGCGGTGGGACGTTAAATCAACCATTTTGCCCACAAAATTTCCTCCCACAAGCATAATGCCCCCTCACTAGGAAATTTTGTTCTAGAATTGAGAAATCAATTACTTGTCTACAGGCGGTTGGAATGTCTCGCATCACAAAATGCACCTCAAAAACCAATCCTAAAAAAAATTCAGTCTCCATTCAATCTCCCTCCAAGACTTGTAACATTATCAAATTACCAAGGTTTTTTTTCAAAGTTACCGCTCGGAGTTGTTTTTGCCTTATCATTAAGCCCCTGGTCAAGAATCTATTTTGTGGTTTACCCTCGCGCACCAGTCGCATGCGTCCTATTTAGTTGAAACAAACTTTTCGAATTTTTTTAAGCTTAGTCAGTTGACATATGATAAAATGCTTATTGACTGAGATAAGTCGGGCTGAAGGGGAAATTATTTGGCTTTCGTACGTGACGTACGAACCAAGCGCACGACTTCGAGCCAATTATTTTCCCGTTTGGCCATCCACTCAGTCAGTATTTATGGCACAGATAACAGATTTAGCTAAATTGAGACAGATTCTATTTAATTAAATTTCAGAGAGGCTATTTTCAGTTTGTAGTATGCATTATTTGGTTTGCTTGTTCAGTAATTATAGGATCTCTTTGTATTCTGATTTACTTCATTATTTAGCTTTATTAAAGTTACCATTAGTTAAAGCAGACTTCGAAATACACAAATAAAACGAAAAAAAATTAACGAGGCCAGGGGGCAGTTCAGGAATAACATAGGCACAAATTGTGAATGATGGACTTGGAATAATTGAGCCAAATTTTTTTAAGCGTCACGAATGATAAACCTCCTTTAACCCTTTAAATCCCACTAGTGACCTAGCCAGAATTTCTCCTTACATTATCAGTACGATGTCAAGCAGATAAGTAATGAGAATAAAGAAAAATATCTATAAGGGGACTATTGGTTGATCCAATTCCAAATTCTCCAAACTAACATCACACAAATTACATGGCAAATGGTAAGGAGAATTACTCATGAAATCATGGGAGTTAAATCTAGTCAGAATGATACAGCAGTATTTTTTTGTCAAAACCAGGAAGGAACGTATCAGGATGCCAGAAGAGTGCGAACTCCTCAATGCGTTTCCTGATATCAGTTTCTGTTCTCCGGCTTGCCCTCTCCAAATGCTTCAGCAACAGCTATATCAAAGTCCCCGCTTTCCCATTACATAATTAGGAACGTTATCGCTTCCACGGCGAATACCTCCAAAATACATCTGTAAAGAGAAACTCTTATTAGTATAAACGAAATTTCGATTTCTCTCGATGCGGAGCACGCTTATCCCTTTCCCTCTTTGTTATTTTTCTGCAAGTGTGCTGTATACCATTAATGATAGGCTCCTGGATGATTTTAAATGAAGCATAAACGAAAGGATCGAGAAAGATAAGCAAACAGCCAATTACACCCGAATAAAGGGTTAGGAATAACAGACCCATCAATGGCCGACAAACGGTCCTTAACATAATCTCTGTCTAGATAAGAACGATGCACAACATTGCGCAAAATGCCCAGACTTCATTTGTTATCCATAACCCCCGAAACAGACAAATTTTAATGCGACCGCGCCTTGAAAAGCCCACAACACCGTTCACAAAATTCTCTTTCCAGATTTCTCAAATATTAAACATTAAAAGACGAAGTTTGAGAAAGTAAAGGGAATATCCCTAACCTTGAAAATTATGAAAACAACTCAAACTGGCTTCCAAAAACCCAAAAGCAGGAAATTGTTTCCCACGTTCCGACAATAATACGCAACCATGGCTTACTCAAGTACTTCAGTGGCCAAGGTAATCTTTCAGACGTCTATTTTAAAGATTCAATATGCTGCCCACCAAAACAAATTCCTTCAAAAGAGAGGTTTAAAGAGAAAATACACAGATCTAAATGTTGTGGGGGCTAAAATAGCCAAAACGGAACAATCTATGGAAAAATTTGAGAAACATTTAGCAATTCGCACTTGTCCGATCTCTTTGCAGTATTCGGCGAAGCCAAATATCACACCGGACATAATCTTCGATAAAGAAGTAAAAGAAATAAAACAACAAGCTCAACAAGGCTTAGTTGATGCCTTGACTAGTTTTCACAAAAGAAGGCTCGAGAGCCAAAGAAAAAGAGCTAACTACGAACTCTCAGCTCGTAAGAACAAACATGTAAATAAGCAACCGCTCAAAGGAAAGCACATGGCGAACATTGTAAAAAGCAAATATAAAATAACCGAATTAAGGAATGATATTTCTTACCTTAAAGAGCTAATTTATACTCTTGCAAATAAAAGAGATGGAAATAAAACAGTGTGTTCTCTGACTCTATAAAGGCTGATTTTAACAACAGCGGCGCAGAACAAAAAGCACAAGACGCAAAGAGCGTAGAAACACTTCAAAATGTAGGCTTTCAGCCAAGAAAGGGAGAAAAATTTAAAATTTGCTAAAAAATCTCTCAAACCATCAACGTTCTGACGGTCAAGTCGGCGTGCTATCAAAGGGTCTCAAATTTAACCCAACACCCGTGACAAACGAATGCAACAACGCTTGCGAGGTTTTGAACAATTCGCAAGACGAATGCGCTTCCAATACATCTTTCACGGATAAAACAAAGAACCACATCCGTTTCATGTTAAATCAAACTGGATGCCACCGGTTCAGCCTTCTATTGCCCTTGAAAGCTACTTGGAAAATGTCGGAGCACAACTTGCAGAGATTACTGTAACTAAGCTAAAAAATAATTTTTCACGCAATGAGATCACAGCTCTAAAAGAGTTGAAAAACAGCTCTGCTTTTAACCTTCAAAAAAGTAGACAAAGGTACCACAACAGTCATCATGAATGAGACGGAAAAAATAGAAGAAGCCAAAGTGCAACTCGACAACAGAGTTCACTACAAACCTCTCAGGCTACCGATAGTAAAAAAACACGCAGGAAAGGGTTAATAAACATTTGAACAAATGTATCGAGGAAAACAAATTGATGACATGACTTAGAAATAGCTTTCACAAACTCCCAATCAACTAAAACACCAATATTCTATAAGCCCAGGAAAATACACAAACCTACACCGACCCTATACCGGTCGGTAGACCTTTAATCCCAGGTTATGACAGCCCTACTAAGAGAATATCATCTGTTGTGGAGATGTTACTCCAGCCTATCGCGCAATTGCAACAATCCTATATGAAGAGGGTCCCCAATGGGTTTTTCGGGATGCGGGATTAGGCTTATATAAAGGCCGGGATCCAGGAATTTAAAGTAAGGAGGGAGCGAGACGCGGGATTGCTATCGTGAACGGGACACAGTAATCAGCGATTTTTAGGAGCGGGATTCGGGAAATAATCATTTAAACGAACTGAGAACCGGGATGTCTGTTGACGAGAATTTATGACGAAATTGATCTTCTCAGTCCATTAAAAGTACCAGGCTCACAGGCTCTCTAGCACTCGGAAGGCCGTCGGGCTGTTCTGCGACACTCTTCAGTTATTGCACGTGGATGAAAATTACATCAGAAGCGAAGTCGCCAATTTACCGAAATCCTGAATGGCCTACAGAGTAACGTGTCATCTAAGACTGCTGCGTCAATTGAAATGCTTAACGGCCTTGGAAAGACTCCAACATGTCTGAAAATTATACCAATATGACGCTCCTAACCTGTTGAGTTGCATGACACTGGACGTGAAGAATATTCACTCGGATGTACATCACAAAGATAAACTTTTCGCGGTGTTATATTGCGCGAGAAACTTTGGAAATGCAGCCAAAGAAGGCTTGAACAGGACAACCCATTGGGCAGCGTAATATTTGTCCCCGAATGTGCCATGATCCTGTCGGTCATACCAACAATTCAACCATTACCGCCTGTGCGGATGGCGCCACAGAGCATAGAGGAGATGAGGGACTGGGCGTCAACATTTGTTCGTCAGCGCTCTGTCATACAAGAAACAACGATGACAAGAGCTGGAACTCCCCTGTCGTACAGTTGTATCAAAGAGATATTCAGTCGGGCAAACCGGTCAGCCTCGAACGCTTTGACGTCGAGGAGCAACAAGAAAACAGCAGGAAACAAGACAAAGATGAAGATGGAGTACGATTCCCCGAGTGATGATGGTGACATTCCATCTTTCGAACGAGAGGCTGATCTTCACCTCGGAAGAGGTTCCCGCTTGAGAAGAAGTATTCGCTTCAACAGCAGAATTGTGTTCAGTTGATTTTTCTTTATCTTCCTTGTTATGAAGGAAGTCGTTACCGTGACTAGCGTACGTTATTTGCGTAAAACGTTGTAAACTTCTAAAATTTAGTCGGATCACAGAACTGAAGAAACCCTATTGGGTACCCTCTATGAAGGATACCACTGCTTTAATCAATTTCTTAGGAAAAAAAAAAAAGATAGGCAAAGATACTATTCTAGTATCAATGGACGTTTCTAGCTTGTACACAAATATACCTCAAGAGGAAGGAACGAATATAGTATTTATATATACGAAAAGATCCACAACCATAATGTACCGATCCCGACGCACTACCTCAGGGAAATGCTTGGTTTAATCCTGAAAGAAAATTCCTTTTAATTCAATGGGGAGAACTTCCTATCATCTCTTACAAAAAAGGAAAACCCCTCAAAGACACGCTTGTGAAAGCAAAATATAAATTTGGAGGCGATAATGCGACGCGACCACAAAAGCCACATGAGGAGTTCGCACAGGTCTGTCTTCACCTTTGTTCCTAATTTTAGGGGCTTCTCACTAACACCCAATTTATCCAAAGAACAACGAATCGAGAAGAAGGAGGAGGAACAAGCGAAGTACAAGCAGAAGGAAAATGCCGTTCCAACGATATTTTTCTCCCATCGACCTTCCAAAAAACCTCGGCTGTCGTCTGAACACCATCGCCAAGAACAATCGCAAAAAGAGGTATTACTATGTAAAAGCTAGATTGACTAAGTATCATTTATCAGAGAACTCAAACTATTATTCTTCATAGCTTTTCACTATGTTGCAGGAATACTTATCTATATTTTATGCGCTTAAGTACGACTTTACGTGTGAAAAGAAATAAAACGGCCTTTTCTTCTATCTGCAGTATCTTGCTTCGACTCAAAGCCCCCCTTTTGCTGTAAAGGAGCCCAATACCTCCAGAGAAGTCAGGAAGTCAGTCTCTTCCCAATAAATGATGCAGAAGAAATGGACACAGGTTGCATCCTTATCGTCTGCCATGACCGAGACTGCAGATGCAGTGTGTTTGGTAAACTTGAAATGTGTTTTGAAATGTTTCAATGCAAAAAATTGATTTCCTAGATTTATTATAAATTTGATTGCGTATCAAGTAAGCTGTAATTTCGTCACCGTTAAAGTACAGAGTTAACGTGACAATTAAAAGTAGCATGTAATAGGGAGCGGCATAGGATAATCTAATTAGTTCTGCGAACAGTGATGTATTAAATTAGGTACTTCCAGGGCGTTTAAGCGCGTAGGAACATAGAGGCATGATTGTCAAGTAAAGCCATGTTTGATAGGAAATTAGTGTCCACGAATCGTTGTAGAACGTGTGTAAGTCTTGAATCCCACACGGAATCGTGTATCTGGGTGTGGATATCCTTAGCTAATAAATGTAATAATTTTTATACCCCTAATATTAAATTGTAATAGATTAGATAGATCGTAGAACGGTACGTGTAATGCTGAATTGTTGACAGTAAAGCCTGAATCAAGTGAAAGTATACAGTCCAGGATTACTGAACCAGCGTGTGCGGAATTCTTAGTAACGCAAGTGGAAAATTCTCCGAAATCTGGTCCCTCGAGCCGGATAGTGAACGAAGATTGCGAACGAAGATAGAGAACGAAGATAGTAAACGAAGATGACTCAA